AATAATAATAATAATAATAATAATAATAATAATAATAATAATAATAAAGTATAAATTGAAATATAGCGGGATCTACATACAGATGTCTGGAGTGGAGTAAGTTCCTTATTGTTTGACCAGTTTAGTTTTTAAAGTCTAAATTACACAATTGGGATCTTTCTCAAATGGTGACTTTGCATCTGGTTCTAATTGGTGAATCTCCGGGTTCTATTAAATCACAGAAAAATCCTGTCTTTCCTGTTTCAAAGAATGATAGATATCATTATTTGTTAGAGAAATGGTCAGGTTGTGGAGCAGTATGCTGAAATTATAACACTCCCAAATAAATGCCAAAACATATGATATTGCTCTCAATATCATATGTTGTGGCATTTATATCATATGTTGTGGCTCTCAATGAAAAGGACTAGGGAAGAATGATAGCAGTGTTCCAATATCTCAGGGGCTGCCACAAAGAAGAGGGAGTCAAGCTATTCCCCAAAGCACCTGAAGGCAGGACAAGAAGCCGTGGGTGGAAACTAATCAAGGAAAGAAGCAACTTAGAACTAAGGAGAAATTTCTTGACAGTGTGGACAATTAATCAGTGGAACAACTTGCCTCCAGAAGTTGTGAATGCTCCAACACTGAAAAAGTTTTTAAAAAGATGTTGGATAATCATTTGTCTGAAGTGGTGTAGGGTTTCCTGCCTAAGCAGGGGGTTGGACTAGAAGATCTCCAAGGTCCCTTCCAACTCTGTTATTCTATTCTATTCTAATTTTGCTGTACATAAAGGCAGGACATGAAGAGAGATTTCAGATTTTGTATGTGTGACAGACAAGAGAGATGGAGGAAACTTGCATGTTCCAGTTACTGATCCTATTCATAAATGATTCCTAACATTGTTTTTATTTTACTCTGTGTGGTCTGTAGTGATAAAGTTCAGTCCCTCTCTTATTCCCATCACACTCGGCAACTCATCTCTTGTGGGGCAGATGGCAGAATCGTTGTCTGGAATATGGATGTTGAGAGGCAAGAGGTATCCAGTCAGTTCTTCCTCTTTCTCTGATCAGGGAAGTTATCACTTACATAATCTTCAAAAGATGCATCAAAAAGCCATTTAAGCCAAAGGTGACTGCCTGAAAACTCAATATAATAACATTGTGTTTTCCTGTTGGGGGCTGCTTCACTACTGTCACCTCAGCCTGGTACCCTTCAGATGCCTTGGACTAGGTCAGGGACTTAATTTGGAAGGTCAGACTAAAAATGCTGCTGGAAGACATCTGCTTCCATTCCTATTTGGAAAACTTTATTAAATGGCACCAAAAATTTTGGGACTGTTTTGCAAGCCTGGGGAGTTTAAGGGTAATAATAGAAAAGATTTCCACTCTTAATTTGAGAGAAAGGAGAATATCTCCCTATTGGGCTACTTCTGCTGACTGCCAGCTGACTGCAATTTGGCAGTTCAAATCTCACCGGCTCAAGGTTGATTCAGCCTTCCATCCTTCTGAGGTGGGCAAAATGAGGACCCAGAGTGTTGGGGGCAATATGCTGACTCTGTAAACCACTTAGATAGGGCTGTAAAGTCTAAATTCTATTGCTATCCAATGAATGAATTGCTCATCCCAGCCTTTGGTGCTGTGTAGGACCGTTGCTGTTAGGAGTAATATAAATCCAGTGCTTTCTCTCTCACTCATAAATACACATATCATTGAAACTACCTCTCTACATATATTGAATATAATTCAATATGGTGCTGGATAGACATATTTGTTTCTCTTAGAAGCTGGTCTAAAGTTGTTAATGCAGGCAGCCAGCTCTTTAGTTTGGTATTTGAGAAAATCCATACAGTAAAACCTTAATTTAACAAGCATTTACCAAACTTCAAATGCAATGGACAAAATTCATGTTTGTGTATCTCCTCAAAATAATGATATACTCATTCCACTGTATTCAAAGTCATCTGGATGATTCACTTAATTTGTTGTTTTTATTTATTTATCTCAATTGCGTACATTTGTAAGTATACAAATGATGCAGTTTACAAAGTTAGGCATATTTTCATGATTACATGCTAATATAAATGCTGTAAATTGACATAAATTATGTATGTATGTAGGTATGTATGTATATATATGTAGGTCTAGGTGTGTTCGGGTCTTTTCCTGTGTAAGATTAAGAGTACCTTGGCGACGTTTCGAGTGAGACCTCGTCAAAACATCGCCAAGATACTCTTAATCTTACACGGGAAAAGACCCAAACACACCTAGACCTATATATATGGCATTTTTAACAGATATTCAAGAGTAGCACATATCCCCTCTTCTAAATGATATAAATTTTGCCGTATTCCTACAGAGGAAATTGCTGCAATTTATACTCAAGATTTTATTAGGGAGGAATAAAATTGGCTCAAGGGACATATATTCATATGCAACAAAGGAAGATATTTTAGATTTTTATAGTCAACTTCCTGAAGAGAAAATAGTAGGCCATTCTCCAGTGTGTCTGGCATTATGATTCTAATATTAAAACCTCAGAAAACAAATATAGAGACAAGACCAACAAAATATATATCAGAGAACAGTTTAAGGGAAACCTTAGAGATTACATTGAATCCATTGTTTGGAACTCATGGCTATCAACTTTATAGTATATCTAAAGTGCACAATGTAAGCAAATGTATACAGAAATTGTTGATTTACAATAAGGTAGAATTTCAGAATAATTCACTATGCCAGTCCCAGTGAAGAGAGAGCAGCATATTTCCTTAAGGGTATAGACTTGATGTCTATTTATGGCCAGTGCACAATTGAGTTTAAGGATTCCTTCCTTCCTTCTTCTTTTCTTAGACACCAGAATGGTTGGATAGTGACTCTTGTCAGAAATGTGACCAGCCGTTCTTCTGGAACTTCAAACAGATGTGGGATAGCAAAAAAATAGGCCTTAGACAGGTATGTATCATGCTGCTTTTTAAATGATTGAAGATTGTCCCCTGTTCCCTTGGATACAATAGTAAACATTTCAGGAAGGTGGGTGTTTATGGAACCAAAACTACACTACTGGTGCAAAAGATGGAGCTTGTCAATTTGGAAAAACCCTGTGTTCTAGAAGTCAACAAAATGTTTGAAGTTGACATGTTTCAAGTATTGAAATTTCATTGGAAGCATTCTGATGGTTCACCTTGCTGAAATATAGTTCAAAAATATTTTATACCATTACATGTTCAAATATATTTTATGCTTTAATAACCATAAGATATTGGGTGTTTTAAAGAGGAAAAAATAACAGGAAATAGGGCTGGTGGTTAAATGGAAGAGTTTATGGGATTTGGAGGCTACCGCTGAGAAACTTGACTGGTTCAACATGTTTAGTGAATAGGGGGAAAATAAAATGAATTTTTCCCAAGTAATCCATGCTATATTTTATTGCAGGTCCTTCTTAACCTTGATTCTCACTTATGAAACTCATTTATATCTTTTTGTATGAATAATTTGCTAACATTCCAAAAGTTAATGGGCATCAAAGGAAATTAATTTGTGTGACTCAGCAAAAAATTATTGAAGATTCACAGCAACTTTTCAGGGAAACCCATTAGTGATGATGATGATGATGATGATTGTTATTTACTAATATGGTTTATAATTTTTTATAAGTGATGTAGCAGAGCTTTGGGGACAGGGAGGGAAATTTATAAGACCCACCCTGATATGCTTTGATGTGATAGTTCTTTCAGTTCAGTTCTTTCATGGTGAATCTTATATGCTTTTAAAATTTCAGCATCATTGCCGAAAGTGTGGAAAAGCAGTGTGTGGTAAATGCAGTTCGAAGCGCTCTTCCATACCTCTCATGGGATTTGAATTTGAAGTGAGAATCTGTGATACTTGTTATGAATCAATAACAGATGAGGAGTAAGTAATTTACCCCCTTCCAGTTGCTGGGGCAATTTATACCGTAGCAGTTTCTGGATATAAATGAAATGTCAGTTTTGAAAGTTTTACTAGATCTAAGTCAGAGATGAGAAATTTTTATGTTGCTGAATCCCCAAATAATTCATCATGTTATGGTAGCTAGAACTGTGAGAAATCATAGTTTAGCTACTGCTGAAGGCCACGGGGTCTGAATTAAGATTTAATTTACTTATTTTTTGCATCTAGATATGATATTGTGATCTTCAAATTCCTATATTTTCACTTTGTCCTGTTATGTGCTTCCTTTAGACGTGCTCCTACAGCCACTTTCCATGACAGTAAACACAATGTTGTCCATGTACACTTTGATACAACACGGGGTTGGTTGCTGACATCTGGAACAGATAAAGTTATGAAGGTGAGAATACAACTTACCCCAACTGAATCTACAGTAATTCTGGATCATTTTAATAACCTTATTCTTTTGTCTCCTTTTGGACAGTTGTGGGATATGACACCAGTAGTATCCTGATGCAGTGCTGAAATGGGAGCAACACAGTATTAATGAAGAAGAGATTCTTGATTCTGTAGAGAAAATGAAGCAAGTTAAGTACTGACTGATAAACGAGAGAACTAATATTTCTGGATGCATTTTTCAAGTAACCTACCAAATTCAGGGTGAGGACTGCACCAACGATCTACTTCACAAAATGCAGATTTTTTTTTTTTTAAAAAAAAACAACCTTAAAGACTTCTCTTGTCTGGCTTCATTGAACCATTTGGAATTCATCTGGAAGTTTCTGTGTGAACCATTATTTGTGTTTTGTGTTGATATGCTGCTGAGGTGGTGGATCTTTGCAAATGTGAGCAGTTGCCTGCAATATTTGATTAGTAAGATTGTACTTAAGAGATAAAAGGGAAAAACCAAGGATTCCTGTTCTTTGTTTCATTTTCAATTTCATTATGAAATACAAAAGTTCAGGCCAACCAACTCCTTTGCAATTATATTCTAGAAAATGGTACTATAAGTTTGGGAGTGGGTAGGAAGAGAAAAATAGTCCAGTCTTCTTCCAAAACCAACTGGAATGTTTAGTTTATTGCATCATCAAAATTAGCCAACCAAAGCTTTCTAGTCCTAGACACAGCCAGTAAGTACACAAGCCAGTTTTGACTTAAAAAAACCCACCTCAAATGGTTTTATAGTTGGCAGTAATTAAAAGAGCCCTCCATGTGAGTTGGCTCACTTCTGAAATTTCTTCTGGAAAGTCTGCTGAAATTGTGCTTTACTAAGTATGGTTTGAAAAGAATTGTCCCATTCTTGTCACTTCTCTGGAAGGATGTATATTTTTTAAAAAATGCTGATAATTGTAATTTTTAATTTTCAGTGTAACTCTCAAATTAATATAGTGAAACTTCACATTTTGCATTCTTGGGCAAATTTTTCAAAAAATAAAAACATGAATTAAAAATATTTACTTTTTACTATGCTTTAAATCTCTTTCAACTAAGCAAATAGAAGGCCCTACATTCCACTAATGAAAAGACTGATGCCTGACATATGTTGCTTTTCCTTTGCTAAAGGAAGCAGACATTTGTACTTCATTTACACACAGGCGCTACACGTGCAAACATTAAAAAGATGTCCTCTCATACATCAGAGACCACAGTCTTTCTCCATTGTGGTGGAGATAGCATTCAGGATTGGGTGATCAGTCTCTGCCTGTGATTGGACTGAGTCTGTCAAAGCTTTGATGACATTCCCTCTGCTGCTAGGAACCTCCCCAGAAAATGACTCAGTCAGCTTGTTGGACTACTTGTTAATTTCTTCTCCTAGCAAATTTAACAAATCCTTTCAAATGGATTGGAAAAATAGGAATAAAAACACCAATCCTGAATTCTATTGCAAGCCGGAATCGGTCTACCACTTTGACAGCTGTCAAACTGCAACATGGCCGGGCACTTCGGATCGGCTGAGGGCCGATCTACAAGGTACTAAGGTTCTGGTTGTGGGAGGAGTTTGAATACCATCCTCACCTCCTTCCCGCACTTTGGCTTGGGAGGCTCCCAGTGGTTTTGGCCGTTGGAGACACTGAGATTAACCACAGTAGCCTTTAAAGGGGCAGAAGACCTACAGCAAAGAGTACAGGTAGTGAGAGTAGGTTTAGGAAAGTGAAAGGCTGCAGCGTGATCGGGGTGACTCCAGAGTAAGATCGTTGGAGTCAGAGATGGCAGAATCACAAAAGGCTAGCCGTGATGTCAGGAGAGTGGAGGGGGCGGCTCGACAGCCGTTACATTCTCTAAGCCCAGCAGCCCCAGAACAGATGGCTTCATTTTACAGCCCTAAGCCAAAGGACAAGGCTTCAGGAAACCCAAAAGGGCTCCAAGGCAGGAGAGAGGGACAAGGCTCTGGATAAAGTGTGGGCTCGAGGGAAAGAGCAAAATGATGAGGAAATGGCACCCTGCATAATTTCCCGCCCAAATGAGGAACAGCCATTATTGAGAGGAGAGAAGCAACTGCAAACTGACAGGACTGCAGTAGCAGACGTGGCCATAGGGGGAGCTGAAGAGCAGGAATCTATTGAGACTTCTGAGATCAAAAATTTCTTCTCTATCTGCCCAGCAACAGAGCAACTGACAGTTACTGATCAGAGGCACAGAATGGCTCCAGAAGCCACCTTTACTCCCATGTCAGCTGGGATCAGAACAGTTAGGGCACAGGAACCTGAGTTCCAGGTTAATATGCAGGCTATGTTAAATGAGGCAGTGAGGCAAGGAGTGTCAGCTGTCTTGAGACAGACCAGAGGTTCTCCCTCAGAGGTTTCTGTTTCCTCATCCAGAGGCAGGAGGAGACACAGGTCTCATTATGATGATGATCTTTCCCTGCATACAGAATCAGGTGCATATATTCCTGCTGTAAGCTCCCACTCCATCACATCTGACAGTGGCCAGCTGATGGACAGAAACTATTCCAATGATGAGGGCCTCAACTAGGCTGACCAAGGCTCTATCCCTGGCTTGTTCCAACCTGCCATCTTTAGATCTCTCCTCTTTAAGGCCAAAAAGGCCACAGGGCGAGGCTTAGTCCCTGAACCGCAGGAGCCTGCAGACCCCTCTGAAGACCCCAATGACCCACTGTTTTCTGAGAAAACAGTCACAGTAGATGTCATCCCTGCGCCAAAGATGTTCACCACAGTCATCCAAAGACAGTGGTTGTCCCTCGGGTCCGGTCCAAGCCCTTCCTCCCTAGACAAGAAATTGTTTAATGTAGGAGGTGATCTTTCCAAGGCCCTGGAAGTGCCCGATGTTGACCCCTCAGTTGTGGCCCTGCAAGCCAACACAGACATCCCTGGGGAGCCTGAGGACTCACTGAAGGCTGAGGGCAAGAAGGCTGAGCAAACGTTTCAAAGAACACACCTGTCAGCAGCATGGGCAGTGAAGGCTTCCACAGCCGCCTCTTTCTTCAACAGGGCCTCTCTCATCTGGCTCCAGGAGCTACAGGAGAGAAATCCACTGGACAATGTCAGATCACACCTGCATGTGAACAAACTATTGGAAGCAGTAGAATTTTCACCTGATGCCACACTGAGTGCTGCCAGATTTGCGTCCCGGGCAATAGTGGGAACAGTGACCTCTCATCCCTTGCTCTGGCTAAAGCAATGGCAGGCTGATATGAGGCACAAGAGGAGGTTGGCCACGGCCCCATTTAAAGGGGATAAATTGTTTGGAGAGGCTCTGGACAAGGTCCTAGTGGACTCCAAGGACAAAGGGAAGATTTTGCCATCCAAGTCCAGAAAAAGTGATTATAGACCAACTCCCTATGCCAGACGCTCCTATTATAGGACCCCCGAAACAGGAGGGGGATGCCCAGACCCCAGAGGTCTTTCGCCCCCAGGCAGGAACAAAGCCAGGACAGGACAGGTAGAAATTGTCCTTTTAACAATAAGGGGCCCTTTCGAGGGGCTGAGGGTCGTCCCTTCCAATGCCCCAGATAAAATGGAGACCAACCCTCCCATTGGGGGATGTCTGGCCTTGTTTGCCAGGTGTTGGGAGGAAGTAACCACTGACACCTGGGTCCTGGAGACATTCCTCTCCGAACTATCTATATAATTCCTCTCTATGCCCCCGAGGTTTTTCATTCATTGTCCTATCTCTAGGAATGCAGAGAGAAGGAACCTTATGAAAACAGCTATTCAGCACCTGCTGGAGATTCAGGCTATTCAGCCAGTGCCTGAGGGTCAACAAGGCATGGGATTCTATTCCATATTGTTTGTAATCCCAAAAGCCTTGTGGGGATGGAGGGCAATTCTGGATTTGAAGTGCCTTAACCGCCGGGTGAAATACAGGCAGTTCAAGATGCATTCACTCCAGTCCATCCTGAAGGGAATTAGGGAGGGGGACTTCCTTACCTCCATTGATTTAACGGAGGCCTATCTCCATGTCCCTATTATCCCTGCTCATCGACAATTCCTCAGGTTCTGCTACAATGGGAGGCACTACCAATACAGGGCCTTGCCCTTTGGACTTTTCTCAGCCCCCAGGTCATTCACTAATCTGTTGGCAGCCCTGGCAGCCCACCTTAGGGCTATACCAGTTAGGGTCCAGTGTTATCTCGATGACATACTGGTCCAGTCATCTTCCCCATCTAGAGCTGTAGAGGATTTAGAGATCACCATTCAGTTGCTCCAAGAGCATGGCTTCTCTGCCAGTTCACTCCCACCAATACCTTACTCCATCTGGGAGCTGTTATAGATACTAATTCCTGCAAGGTGTCCTTATCCCAAGAACGTCAGGAGAGTATCAGGGAGTTAATTGGACAAGTGAAATCTAAACCTAGAGTATCCCTGGCTACGCTTTCTAAGCTCCTGGGGAAAATGATATCCTGCATTAATATAGTGCCCTGGGCTAGACTGTATGCCAGGTCACTCCAATGGTTCCTTCTACCTTACCAGAAGACAGGTAGGAGTTGTTCCCTCTTACAGGTCAGATTAACTCGGTTGGTCTTTAAATCTTTAAGATGGTGGTCATCTGAGGCGCTTTTCATGGGACTTCTATTCAAGGAACCGAACAGGTTAGTGCTGACCACAGATGCCAGTCTTCATGGCTGGGATGCCCACATTCAATCCAGGGTGCTTCAAGGACAATGGTCACAGACAGATTTGGACCATAATATCAATTGGTTAGAGCTTCGAGCAGTCCATCTGGCCCTGAGACAATTAGAGGTCGTGGTCTCAGGTAAGGACATCCTAATCTTGACTGACAATGTATCTACCAAGGCACACATTAACCACCAAGGGGGGACTCATTCAGGGCCTCTGATGCTGGAGGCAGAGCAGCTCTGTTTATGGGCAGAGAGACACCAGGTATCGCTCAGAGCTGAACACATTGCAGGCGTGGCCAATGTTGAGGCTGACTGGCTTAGCAGGGCCACCATTGACCATGCAGAGTGGCGTTTGCATCCTGATTTGTTTCAGGAGCTGTTGGAGCGCTTTGGATGCCCAGCAGTGGATCTCTTCACTTCCCAGGACAACACGCAACTCCCGAGATTCTATTCTAGGTTTGCAGTTCCAGGGGCGGAGGGAACAAATGCCTTACGCAGCCCTTGGCCACGGGAGCTCCTGTATGCCTTTCCTCCTCTGCCCTGATCCTGAGGGTCATCCAGAAACTGTTGGTGGAAAGAGCAGAGCTTATCCTTGTAGCCACTTATCGGCCCAAGAGGCCATGGTTTGCAGACTTTCCATTTCCAGACCTTGGAGGAAACCGCAGGACAGAGTGTCGCTCAGCCAGGGGCCAATCTTGCATCCAGAGCCCCAGTGGCTTCACTTGGCCGTCTGGAGATTGAGCAGGGATCTCTGATCTGGGACAATTATTCCTCCAGAGTAATAAGAACTATCCAGGCCTCCAGGAGACCCTCCACCAACCGCCTCTATGATGCAACCTGGAAAGCTTTCAGCACATGGTGTTGTAAGTATGACATTGTCCCTTCTGGGGCCTTGATTGCCCAAGTGCTGGACTTCCTCCAAGAGGGCCTGGACAAGGGGCTTTCACCTAATATTCTGCGGCGGCATGTTGCAGCCTTGTCCTCTGTTCTATCCTTGGGGGGAGTGGAATCTTTGTCTAGACACCCCACGGTCTGCAGGTTTCTGAAGGGGGCTACAAACCTGAGTCCTCCACTGGTTCATCGATATCCAACATGGGACCTCTCTAAAGTACTGCAGTCGCTGACTGAGGCCCCATTTGAATCACTGAGGTCAATTCCCTTGCAGTTTTTGTCTTGTAAGGTAGCCTTTCTGGTAGCGATCACCTCTGCCAGAAGGATTTCGGACCTGGCAGCCTTGTCTGTCAGGAAAGACCTTTGTGTGTTTCACACCAATCGAGTGGTGTTAAGACTAGACTCTCCGTTCATGCCAAAGGTGAACTCGTGGTTCCACAGATCCCAAGAACTAATTTTACCGGACTTTTGTCCACATCCTGTGCACACGTTAGAAAGACGATGGCATACTCTGGACGTTTGGAGGGCGTTGAGGATTTACATCAAGAGGACATCGTCCTTCAGGAGGTCTGAATCCCTCTTTGTTTCCTTTCAACCTTCCACCATGGGCTGCAAGGTAACTCCAGCGACTGTAGGGAGATGGATAAGACTTTGCATATCCAAGGCCTACCAAACACAGGGACTTGCAGTTCCTCCAAGGATAACAGCGCACTCAACAAGAAGCGCGGCAACATCGACGGCGTGGGCCACCCAGGCCTCTCTGGAGGAGGTTTGCAGGGCAGCTACCTGGGCCTCTCCTTCTCTGTTCATCGGACATTATAAGCTGGACTCATTTGCTTCTGCTGAGGCAGCTTTTGGGCAGAGGATTCTGCAAAAGGTCCATTCTGTATAAGGGAGTCGGACCGCACTAGGCCCACCCATAGGACAGCCGGCTTTGGTATGTCCCAATCCTGAATGCTATCTCCACCACAGTGGAGAAGGGTCGTTGGTCCTAACCTGATACGACCTTTCTCTTTGTGTAGAGATAGCATTCAGTCCCACCCTTTCATGGTGCGTTCCAAATGTAATGGTGTGTATTATACTTATAGGAGAACACTTCAGTCTGTCACTATTCCTTCGCCAATTTCTGGGGAGATCCCTAGCAGCAGAGGTAATGTCATCAAAGTTTTGACAGACTCAGTCCAATCACAGGCAGAGACTGATCACCCAATCCTGAATGCTATCTCCCACAAAGAGAAAGGTCGTATCAGGTTAGGACCAACGACCCTTTTTATTCACTTTTCAGTGCCTATAGTGCCTAGCTGTTGTCCCCAATTTGGGCCTGAGCCTGGTGCCGAGGCTGATGAAGAACACCAGACACGAAGTGCAGGTTTTGTTTCCTTTTATTGAAGCGCTCCAAGAAAAGGGGCCCTGGCCAAAATGCCAAGGAGCCTTGTACAATGGAATTAAGAAAGCTTTATACATGAAGGTGGAATATATAAGAAATATCATCTAAGAAACGTTTTAGTAATGCTCTTAACAATTATTCTATTGGTCTCTAGGCGTCCCTATTCCTAAGAAATGCTTCAGGAGTTATACACATTATTTTTGCTCCAGGCCATCTCTATTCCTAACTTCTAGCTGAGGTTTGCAAGATATACAAGTAACTCTTTGTTACTTTTATCAGCTTTCTAACCCCACCCCGCTCAAATTGTTACAAGCTTTACACGTGCTTATTCCCTGTGAATAAGCATTCTTTGTTATTGCCTGATGGACTTCGCAGTTGCAGGCTTCCTGGTTTTCTTTCAAGTGTAGGCCATAACCTTGCTTTCTTTTAGCAGACAAGCCATCAAGCACTTACATTTTATACTGTCAGATATAAATAATAATTATGGGAAGCCGGATAGGGAGAGGATTTGGAAGTCCTGGGGCCTCTGCTGAAGAAGATAGAGCAGGGGTCTTCAAACTTGACAGTTTTAAAACTTGTGGACTTCAACTCCCAGAATTCCTCCTGCAGTTAATTCAGGAATTCTGGGAGTTGAAGTCCACAAATCTTAATCTTGCCAAGTTTGAAGACCCTTGAGATAGAGTCTCTTTACATTAGCGGTCCCTAATCCCCCAGGCCGTGGCCTATTCAGAATGCATGCGAAGCTTCATTTGTGCAAGCAGCGTGTGCAAATGAAGCTGCGCTCACTCACATGCATGCCTGCTGCTCACACACAACCATCCCTTCTCACCCCACCCCCTGGAAAAATTGGGGACCGCTGTTGCCATATGTATTTCCAGAGAATATCCATGTATGACTTCTGTTTTCTGAGACTGCACTCTGATTATGAAACTGATTATGAGTATGTAATGTAAGTGGCTGACTCACATTTGTGGAACTGAAATCAAGACACTGAAGCTTCTGATACAGAGGGACAGGAACGTGATACTGTTCCACTTAGAAGTGTGAATAATTTATGTTGCACTGTTTTGCCTGCTGCTTCTAAAGTGCATAGTTCAGGTGATGGACTATAGTACTAGGATGCAAGGGGAGGAACAGATTGTGGAGATCATCTAGTCCAGGGGTCTCCAACCTTGGCAACTTTAAGCCTGGCAGACTTCAACTCCCAGAATTCTGGGAGTTGAAGTCCACCAGGTTTAAAGTTGCCAAGGTTGGAGACCCCTGATCTAGTCCAACCCACTGTCCAGTTCAAGAATCTGCTAAGCACATCCCTGACAGATGGCCATTCAGACTCTGTTTAAAAATCTCAATGTACCTTTTTTAAACTGTTGATTTTTAATGGAATGTCAAAATCCCTTTTCTCTTGAAAGGGGCGCTGCCAGTTTAATCTTACTTTGTTTCTCGTATTGGGGAAGTGATTGATCAATTCATGAGTATGTTGAGTTTATTGCTGCAAATAGTACCTTGAGATTTCTCAGGTGACAGATACTACTGGCAGATTAATAAGACTACCTTGTCCTCATGGAAAATTGTAAAGTGCCCAGGAATTTTAAAGAGCCAACACCTATATAAAGAGCATGCCAATGACCAAATAGAAGCAGCCATGAAGATGAATACAAGTATTTATAGACCACATATACACATATGTAGTCTATATGTACAATAAAAAGTACTATAGTTTACAATAAAAGTAAATTCAGAAAGATATCCCTGCACATAAATAATGAAAAAAATAACATTAAAATCAATTACATGCATTATACACCAATCTACCTTAGCTGCAATCTTGCTTAAGGGTTGTCGTAGTTTTTGGTGGCTCAACTCCATTATGGTTGTAACTTGAAGACTACCTGTAAGCCGCATTATTGATCAGTCAAATGTGTAAATCAGGGCACACAATGTAAAAGTAGAACTCTGCTATACAGCCTAGGTATTTTATACAACTGTTCCAATAGTTTTGTGCCTCTGATTTTATACTTCTTAATCTTCATGCAAGAGAACCAGCTTACTCTAATGGTTAAGTTTTCAGGCTAGAAGCTGAGCAATTTTGAATTCTAGTCCTACTGTAGACAAAAAAGCTAACTGGGTGACCTTATGCCAGTCACTTCCTCTCAATTCTAGGAAGGAGGCAATGGCAAACCAGTTTAGAAAAACCTTGCCAAGGAAAATATAGGGACTTGTCCAGACAGTCTCTGAGATTCGGACACAATTGACAGAAGAAGAAAAACCTTCCTCTGCAGCGTATTGTTATTTGGAATTGCAACAGAAACACCAAGGATAAAAGGAAAGGAAAGCCATCACAAGTATGACTAGTCGGAAACATTCCATGTGGAAACAGTGTTCAGGATTTTTGCCACAGTCATATTGAGGTTAATGAAAAGGTAGGATGAAATTTTGCAGGTGGAATGAAAACACCCTGCCTGAGATGAACCAAAGAAAAGGAGAGATGGTGAGCATGAAATGAAGGTAAACTCTGTGGCCATTCTGCCACCATGGATGTTTGTCATTGTCATCCTCAGGCATGAGTGATCTGGAAAACGATAGCCTCATACTAGTGGAATCCAAAATCAGAAGAACTGCCTATAGTTTAATAAAGAAAAAAAAAACCAAGGAAGAAGCAATACAGGAAAAAAAAAACCTTACTGAAGTGCAGATAAAAGCAGTTTGCCAAAGTACTTGGCTGCTTTATAACACAGTTAGTAGCCTCTATGTCTCTTGGCCAAGGTTTACATGTGTAGTTATGATCTAATTAATCTAAATATAGGAGTTGCAGGCTAGATCACAATCATATGTCTACATTTCAAGAACTTACTACTCTTTCCAAAAAGTGTCCTAAAGGAACGAATAGGGTGTTATCTACTAAACAAGCCAGTATATTTTATAGGAAGGGGAGCTGTTATACCTTGTAATCTGAGATTGTCTTCCCATCCAGCCTCCTTAAAAAAAGAGCACCCACCCCTCAACAGGTTTGCAATAATAGTGTTTTCTTGCAGAATAACGTAACTTTGCCATGAGGCAGCCTCTGTAGCAAAGCTGAGCCTTGCACCACATTTTATCACAACAGCTGGCACCTCTCTGCAAAAACAACAACAACAACCACAGATCAGTTGGGTGCTGCTGTGCCCTGGAGCTGACTGAGGAGCAGGTAGAATCCTACAGGTGCCTGGGTGGCTGGGATGTGAAGAAGGCCTCGGCCTACAAGCTCTCATATCCTCATACAGTCTGGTAGCATGTGCTGCCTGGCGTTAACTCCCTTTTGTGGCTAAGTGGGGGAGGGACCCCAAGGAGTAGGAAGTGGAACATGGGGTTGGAGAAGGCCTTGTGAGTGTCAGCTGGTGCTCCATTCAAAATCCAAGAAAGAAATACTTAAGACTCCTTTAATCATAGAAAAGATATGGCTCCAGACTTGTGCCAGGAAGAATCCTAACTCCTTGGGATCCCCCCCCATATTTTACTTTCAATGGGGGCACCTTTGGAGTTCTACGTCTTCTGGCAATTACTCCTCCCGCTGGGGGGCCCTGGGCTGCTGCTGCCTGTTGTGCTAGCCCAGGTTGATTTATGGGGGTGGCTGCTGTGATTCTTCTGGCTGGGGCTGCCTCCCCCTCCTCTCCCTCATACCTTTGATCAGTTTGAGGTTCTCCGATAGCTTCATTTAGAAGATGCATGGCTTGAATTAGTAAAACAAAAATTCTTTCCTTCTCTTGCCATGGCTCCTCTCTTCCACGCTGACGGGTAGTGGTCACTCCTGGAGGAGGCTTTTCCTCAGGATCCTTCCAACCGACTCCCAGGGACCATTTGGGTTTTACAGCTGGTTTTTCCCCAAGATTTAGTTCTGCTAACAGGTCGGCCCCCCCCCCCCCCCCGCTTCCTCTAGCAGCAGAGAATCTTGTCCTCCAGTTGCTCCCAGGTCTTCTTGGTCACTGGCTGGATTTGACATTGTGTTCAGACCCCCTCGGAAGAAAATGTATTAATTCTCTGGGTGAGCTGGTAATGTGGAGTTTCAGAATAATGTCAGCTGGTGCTCCATTCAAAATCCAAGAAAGAAATACTTAGACTCCTTTAATCAGAGAAAATATATCTTTTACTGGAAATCAAGTGGTAGCTACAAAAGAATTCTAAATCTGAGAAAATGGGCGCGTAAATCACATATACAAAGTAATGGCAACGTTCCCACCCCCAATAGTTCAATTGGCTCATCCAATTAAAAGTTGTGTTTATCATCATGTGGGCATCTCCAGATGGTGATGAGGCTTCTGTCCGTTGACCTTGACATAGTTTGATAAAGGGTTGCAGCTGCACATAGCATAGGATAGAAACCTAAGCAAGAATGTACCCCACCCCACCCCACCCCAGTTATACAGTTCTGGTTTGTAACACCTCCAGCTCACTTCCCATAACCATTCCCCCCTCCTCCTCCCATTACTTATGACAGCCGAAAGATGCAAAGGAAAGGGAGAAAATCTTGAAGGCTGACAGTGAGGCCGAATGGCAGACAAAAGTGTTTTTGTTTTTTTTTAAATATGCTCTCTACATTGCTTTTATAATGTTTTCATCGGTATGTCTCAGTTCTCAGTTATTGTTGTGGGGTACTTTTTGGTTGTAGAATTTTTATGGAAGTAGTCATACAAAACATTCCTAACCGGGAAATTGTAATTCTGAAAAAGATAATGTCCATAAAGTTTTTAGAACTTGCCAGATCATAGAGAACTTCACTTCCTGCCTTCCAGACTCTGATCTGTACTACAGAGAGTTTTAACAGACAATATCTGGAAAGCTGCAGTTTGGCTGCTTCCAAGTTACACTTCTTGTTGAATACAGAAACCAATGTTATCCCTGCCTCCAGTAAACACCCAGCCAATATTAAATTATAACATATTTAAAGAAAAAACCAGCAGGGGGAAGCAAACGTCTTCTAAATGTAACCTATTTGCTTTGGTTTGAAGACATGTCACAATCCTGAGGTATAGTTGAACAAGGCTTAGCAATTAACTGACCCAGCAATTATTTTTGTTATTTTCCTGGTTTGTACTAAGAAAAGTTAAATTAGATGCTTCTCAGAGTCTTCAGTTTTTAAAGCTAGAGAAACTCCTTAGGGAAGATGCAAATGTAACACATTTCTTTTTCTAGTATTCACCTGCAGATTATCCAAGCCATTTCATAGGGACCTAAGAATGATCTTGTGACTATTTCTTCATGGACTATGAATTTCAGCTGACCACAAGTGCAGGATTGCAGCTACAACAGTTTGAATGAGAATTTCACAGAGGAATGAAAATGTTATTTTCAGGCTAATTTTGAAGTTTCTTCAGTAAGCTACAATGCAATAGATGAAGTGAAGCAGATAACAGATAGAGTTCGAAGGGACCTTATAGGTCATCTAATCCAACTCCCCACCCAAGCGGGAGACCCTACACCATTTCTGACAAATGGCAGTCCAATCTCTTCTTGAAAGTCTCAAGTGATGGCGCTTCCACAACTTCCAAGGGCAAGGTGTTCCATTGGTTGATTGTTCTCACTGTCAGAAAGTTTCTCCTTGTTTCCAGGTTAAATCTCTCCTTGTTCAGTTTCTGTCCATTATTCCTTGTCTGGCCTACAGGCGCTTTAGAAAATAGCTTGACCGCTTCGTCTCTGTATAATATATAATATCTCCTCAAATATTGGAAGACTGTTATCATGTCTGCCCTTGTCCTTCTCTTCACTAGACTAGCCAAGCCCAGTTCCTGCAACCGTTCGTTGTATATTTTAGCCTCCAGTCCCCTAATCATCCTGGTTGCTCTTCTCTCTACTTTTTCTAGAGTCTCAACATCTTTTTTGTAATGTGGTGAACAAAACTGGATGCAGTACTCTAGGTGTGGTCTTACCACGGCTTTATAGAGTGGTATTAGTACTTCCCTTGAAACAACTAGTGAATTACAGTAGTATGAAGAGCCGCAATTTCAGGGGGCTCTCATTCTTTTTTGCAACATTCCCCTTATGCTGCTGGGAAAGAATCATCCATGGAAGCATAGATCTCTATTCCCTGTTTATGGAGATTCCTTGATGATGGAATCACTGGAGTTAAATATGCCATTTCAGGAATATAAAATTCCACAATTCATCATCAGTGAGCCTTACACACTGGGCAACTTTGGCAATTTTGAGATAAATTCCAATTGACTAAATGCAGCACAGAGTTTCATGGCGAAGCAATGATTTCAACTACTTGTCCCTTTTCACATTCCAAGTTTCAACACTCGCAGCATTTGCTATTATACCAAAGCTTTCATGATTTATGAAGATTTCTGATCCATCTTCACTTAGAGCCAGATTCATTACACATATTTATTCCTTCCCTCTCTGACTTCTGAATTAAAGTGTGTGGATTTCATAAATGGCAAATGTGGATTTATTTTTTAAGATAAGATGCTACAGTTATATATCCACAATAACTAAACTGCATGAAGTGCAATAAACAATTGGATGAAATTATAAAAGAAATTAATAGATTGTAAATAATTATTTTCAAACGATTATACAAAGTTGGTTTTTTAATTTCATGTAGGAAAAAGAATGATTTACTGCAATTTGCTTAATTGTGATTTTTTTAAAAAAACTTCCGTCTATTTTTCAACATTTAAGGCACTGCTCTGATTCCAATATTAAAACAAGATAAATATAAATTCTTATTAGAATGTTTAGGGAACTGCCATGCCTAACAGTACTTTACTTCTGTTGTGTTCTAAAAATTAAGAATCATTTGCCTTTTTATGGAACTTGGGATTCAGCATCATTAAGAGGAAACAAAATACATAGAACAGCTTTCCATGCGCTGCTTGATCCAATATTATAAAATGCACATGATATGAATAAGCTTGAAGGTTTCTCTCTGTCGTAAAAACAGACTGCAAAAAATGAAAATACAGCATACCCTAAAATATATGCTTACTTCTCCTCCATGCCCCACCCTGAAGTACAACCAGCCTGGTCACTCATTTCAACAATCTTATTCTGACCTTTAGGAGAATATGGTTTTTCTGATATTACCTCAGGGGTGTCAAACACAATTTCATTGAGGGCCGCATCGGGGTTGTGCTTGACCTTGCGGTGGCAGGGGGTAATGGCAAGGGTGGGCGTGGCCAGCTCAACATCACTTGTGGGGGGGGGGTGCCTGTGGCAGCCCGAGCACTTTGCCAGCGAAAATGCATCTTGGCCCTCCCGAGCTCCGTTTTCACTGGCAGAGGACTGCAGCAGGCTGTTGCAGCTGAAAACGGAGCTTGGCTGGCAGAGGCACCATGGGCTGGTCCTTCGCTGTTTCCACAGTGGGCCCGTGGGCCAGATCTAAGCACCCTGCAGGCAATGGTAATGAAATGCAAACACTGCTCTTTTCTTTGATACACGTTATAATTAGCCCCTGTCCTAATCCAGGAGCCACCAGGATCAGCTGAAGGTACACTCCTCCATTCTGATGGAAAACAGGCACCACACAGTGCACCCCAAATACACTTCTCTGTAGATGATCCAGAAACAGAACTTTAAGCCTCTCTTAGTCCCTTCCTTGAAAACTGCTGCTATAATATCCTTTAAATATATTCATCCTGATTGTTGGTGAGTAGTGACCATTTGTCTGTTCCATCCTCCAAGTCTCCTGGCGCTACGTCTGAAGTCAGGGAACAAAGAGGCACTTGATTGATATTGTCCCAGGTGGCTAATTTGGGAGGTTTTTGTCTCTGATCATCCATTCCAATATGGACGCTAACTTGAGAGGGAGTCAGTGGCTTCATGCAGCCTTGAGCCTCAGCTTCATATTTTTCCAGGACTGTTTTCTTGTAACTATGGAAATAGAACACAATAAAAACATATATACACACACACATATATATATATACACATACACACACACATACACACACACACACATATACATACATATATATATATATATATACAGAAGCCTGATGATGGCAGATGAGATTCTGCCGAAACGTTGCTACAACTTTAAAAGCACAACTACAATGACGTGGGAAAATACCCAAACTAAGCTGAATGCCATACCTGTAAGTACCCGCGAAAACTTAAGAAAACACACACACACACACACACACACACATATATATATATCTATATATATACACACATACACGCACACACACATACATACATATATACACACACACACAAAATAGAAGCACAGTTGGATATCTAGCAAATATTAGTACAGGTGGTCCTCAACTTACAACAGTTCATTTAGTGACCGTGCAAAGTTACAACGGCACTGAAAAAAGTGACTCATGACTGTTTTTCACACAACTGTTGCAGCATCCCCATGGCCATGTGATCAAAATTCAGGTGCTTGGCAACTGGTTCAAACAGGTAGTCCTTGTCTAACAACAGTTCATTTAGTGACCGTTCAAAGGACTGGCTTTGTCTACCGAGAAGAGCTCTTAAAGTGTTAATTGATCCATGTCTTGATTTGGGATTGCTGACCACTTAATTTGTGAAAAACCTCAAGTAAAGTGAACGCAGTAGCATTTTCACCAATATCATTCTGTCTTGCACCAACATGTCAAGTGGCAAAATTACTTCTCAACTTACGGCCAGTTGTTTAATGAGCATTTGGAGTTAAGATGGCCTTCCAAGGGTGCATTACAGCTGACAAAGCATTTCTTTATCATAAAACGTTACCCCAACCCCCACCCCATGCTCACATAAGCACATTTCAGGCACTTGGCAACTGGCTCAAATTTAAAACTGATTGCAATGGTAGTCCTGCAATCATGTGTGACTGCAAGTTTTTTTAATTAGTTTCTGGGATTTTTTTTTGCCAATTTGTCACCAAAATTTGCCCATTCAAGAGAATGGATTTAAACGTACGACTGCATGATTCACTTAACAACTGCTGTAAAAAATGTTACAAAATGTAGTCTAGTCAAGAGGATGCCTCGACTTATGGCCATCACACAGTGGTGGGATTCAATTTTTTTTACTACCGGTTCTGTGGGTGTGGCTTGGTGGGCGTGGCAGGGGAAGGATACTATAAAATCTCCAGTCAGAGGTGGGATTTGCTGGTTCTCCAAACTACTCCAAATTTCCACTACCGGTTCTCCAGAATTGGTCAGAACCCGCTGAACACCATCACTGCCACCACAACATAATCAAAATTCCGGTTCCAATTGTAGTTATAAGTTGAAAACTATCTGTAGTTGACAGCATTTGCTCAATATTTTTCTTAGAACCAGAGTAGCCACTGCAGCTGTGGCCGATGTTTAGACGTTGCCAGTCCTCTTCAAGCAAACTTATTGAGAAAGTTCCAGCATGATGCTGGGCAGAGGTAGAAGAAAGGCATCAACCATCTTGATTACAACTAGTAGCCTAGATTTAAAGTTTTAGGAAAAGGATACTCCAATTCTACTTGATGACTTTGGGCAGAGCATATTAATTCAGGACTGGGAGATGACCTACCATTTTAGCTGCAGGGAGGAGAGCAATACGGATATCGAAGATGCAGCCATTGCAGCTGAACCCATCCATGGCTGTAGCACAAGTCCTAAAGGCATAAATACTCCTGACACAAAAAATAGACAAGAATTAGAATATTGACTAAACACAGGTAGTCTTCAACTTACAACAGTTTGTTTAGTGACCATTCAAAGTTTCAATGGCACTGAAAAAAGTGACTTATGACCGCTTTTCACACTTACAACCTTTGTAGCATCTCCATGACCATGTGATCAAAATTCAAATGCTTGGCAACTGGTTCATACTTATGACTGTTGTAGCATCCTGGCCGGGGTCATGTGATCCCCTTTTGCAACCTTCTGACAAGCAAAGTCAATGGGGAAGCCAGATTCACTTAACAACCGGGTTATCGACTTATCAACTGCAGTGATTCATTTAACAACTGTGGCAAGGAAAGTTGCAAAATGGGACAAAATTCCTTTAATAAATGTCTCACTTAGCAACAGAAATCTTGGGCTCAGTTGTGGACATAAGTCGAGAACTACCTTGTAAAGTTATATGCAAGCAACTCTTAAGAATGCAGAATTTAGTCTTAAATCATTTTCCTATCACCTGCCTGTTCAAAGCTGAGGAGTTTACTACAAAATGGAATTACTTTTGGTATTTGTGTATTTTTTTCTACCACAAATTTATTGTTTGATTTCTATTTTACATGCTCAGAATAACATCAGTTCAGTACAACTGGAGCTCACAACTGGTATTCCATGATTAGAAGGACTTCATGTCAGCCAATTTGTTGTCTTCCTGAGTCACTGGATTTCCGCTTCCACAAAGTCCTAGTCATCATCATCAAATAAGATCAGCAAAAGCTATACAAATTAGAATATTTTTGACATTAAAACCCAACTGCTTAGGCAGCACCACAGTGAGGCTGCTGAAGGGTATATTATTAAGCCAAAAGCTTTTTCACCACAGTGCATTTTCCTTTTTAAGCACTCAGCAAAATCAAAAGCCTCTTGGGATGTGGGTTTCCCTCACTTACATTTTTCTATCTCCTTCCTCTGCTTTCAAATAATTGATTATAGACATAACGTTACACGGCAGCGCTTAAGAACAGGAAAAACAATCCCATTGTGAAGTTTTTAAACAAATAAGAAATCTCTTACTTACCTTCCACCAACCCATTGAGAATCATAGTATGAATAATTTACCTGCTGCTATAGGTATGCCAATGAGATTGTATATTAAGGCCAGGATAAGGTTTATTTGGATTCTCCTCACTGTCTTCCTGGATAGATGGATACTTGCAACTACATCAAGCAAATTATTCTGTATAGAAAAAAAGGGGGGGATTTTATTTTGTTCCAACTTCTCAAAAAGTCCTAGGAAACTCTCCCTCCCCCATCATCACTTTACATTTTGTAAGCTCACATGAATCAGCACAACATCTGCTGCTTCAATGGCGACATCTGTCCCTGTCCCAATGGCAATGCCGACATCAGCCTGGGCCAGCGCTGGTGAGTCATTGACCCCATCTCCAACCATGGCAACTGTTCTTCCAGAGGTTTGGAGCTCCTGGACTTTGGCTACTTTGTGAGATGGAAGAACCTCAGCATATACTTTTCTGATCCCAACCTAGATATAGAAAAACACTTCTTGTTTGAATCTATGTACTTTTATAAAATAGAGTGTCTCTTGGAAGAAAAATACATTAAAACAGGCCAAGTGCTCTTCTAAACCATCTAGTCTGGCATCTATTTTCAAAAATAGCAGAGAAATGTGAAGGCAAGAGTTGACATTTTCAGCAGCATACCATCCCTAAACCCACTGCTGGTATAAAGCCAACATGCTTACTTCCAAATATTCAACCTTTTTCAGAAAATAGGAAAGGCGTTAGTTTCTCAAAAGCTTTGGGTGGATGAGAAAAGACAGAAATAAAGCACTATACAAGATACAGATCTGTAAGAGACAATGTTTACACTTTGCTATAAAAATATTATCACATGCACAGAAAGTTCCACTAAGAACCATACACATCTTAAAACAAGGATGCTAGGGACAATTCAGTACTCAGATTTAGACACTACACAGTACTGGATTGTTGCATTCTTTTTAGAAATCTGGTAATTTTAGGTATGAAGGAAATACCCCATTCCAGAGCTGCCATTTACACAAAGAGTTTATACTTAGCTTCTAGGCTTCTCTGACTGGTTGTTGGAAAGATTACTGATAGAACCTTTTATCTGGACTAGGAATTATCAATCTGGGCCCTCACAAATTTTTTGAATTAGAATCCTTACAAACTTGCCATTGCGGTACTATCTAGAAGTGATGGGAAGCAAACTCTAAAACATCTTCAGAATACCGGGTTGCATGTCCTTAGCTTAGATTGATAGGCTAGACCAGGGGTCCCCAACCACCGGTCCGCGGACCGGTACCGGTCCGCGGAACAACTCCTACCGGGCCGCGGCTTGCTGGGCGCCGCCATCTTTTTTTCATGAAAAAGTGCTTCCGGTGAGCTTTTCCGGGTAGAAAGCTCACCGGAAGCACGTTTTCATCAAAAAAAGATGGCGGCGCCAGCGCTTCCGGTGAGCCTTTCCGGGTAGAAAGCTCACCGGAAGCACTTTTTCATCAAAAAAAGATGGTGGCGCCCAGCTGATGCCGGTACCGGGCCGCGGCGCCCAGCTGATGCCGGTACCGGGCCGCGGCGTCAAAAAGGTTGGGGATCACTGGGCTAGACAGCATAGTTGGATTTAAATTCTCACGAAGTAACAAACCTTAATGAGTCAGTTTCTACCATGCCTCGCAGAACCTTTTGGCAAAAGATTGGGAGGGAACATGTCATGTTATATTCCTGACCTCTCTTGAGGAACAATCAGATAAAGAACTATTGTATATTTTTAATGATTGCATTGTACACCCTTTCAATTTTATTCCACTCAGGGCCAGTATTCTTTGTTTCTTTTCAATGAACCATTCAGCCTGTTAATGGTAGAATCCAATTTTGATGTCACACTGGATCAATTTTGTAGAATGCAAATCAGTTTTGTATGTTGTAAGAACCCCCAAGAAATATGAAAGGAATGGTTACCTTCCAATTCAGCACCCATTCAATGAGCCCAACAAAGGTTAATAATTATCTTGCGTACCTTTTTGACAAGGAACCATACCTGAGTTGCAATTGCTTTGGCTGTTTTCCTATTGTCTCCTGTAATAAGCACCACATCCACTCCCATATTCTGCAATATGTGCATTGCTAAGACTGCCTCTGGCTTGACTGTGTCTGCTATTGCCATCATGCCACAAAGTGCACCTACAAAAAAACAACAACCCATATCTTTACTTACATTTATAAGATCTGTGTCTTATGGCTTCTCTGGGAAGCTATAAATAGTCCTTGACTTGAAATCACCATTGAGCCTGGAATTTTGGTTGTACGTTTTTATGATTATTCTATATCTATATTATTCACATGCGGCCTTGCTCAACGACTGCAATCTAAGCTCTCCCTGTTACAGTTGTTAAGTGACCAAATAAGTCATTCAGCAACTACACAGAGGTATCTCAGGATGGGGAAACCCAGGAAGGCCCAATACCCGTTGGTATATGGAAACCTGCCAGCTGGTTGCTGGCTAGTTCCACCAGCGCAGGGATCCTCTCTTGCCACACTACACCAGGGACTATGTATGTTCCTGTTGCCATGCTCCATCCTGCAGATTCTCACCGTGGTTTGGAAAACTCCTCCAAATTGTGCAGTTTGGAGAAGGGGCTTCTGAACCATCATGAGAATGATGTCAATTGTTAGCATTTTCTCCTTTGGAGAGAAAGAGGCTTAGTGAAGCTGGTCTTCTGAAAGACTCCGAGCCTCAGACCTTCAGAACACTGAGGCTCAGAGTCTGCAGTGTTTTCTCCTCTGGAGAGGAGAAGAAAGCTAATGAAAGAGGTGGATTCCGGAGGAGGACACTCCAAAGGCTCTGAGAATCAATGTTTCCAGGTAGTTCTTTCATTCTGTGCGCAGAAGAAAACTATTTCTGCGGGCAGGCTGTAACAGGGCTTAGAAAGATCCAAAGAAAGGAGTTATCCAAAGGTATTCTTTTTCCAAAAGGCAACTGGACTTATTAGTTTGTTTGTTTTTTCCTTTGAAAATGTTTCACTTCTCATCCAAGAAGCTTCTTCAGTTACAACTGAAGAGGCTTCTTGAATGATAAGCGAAGTGTTTTCAGAGACAAAAAGAAACAAGGGAGTCCCACTGCCTTTTGGAAAAAGCATCTTTGGGACAACCATCACCTGGAAGATTGAGAATCTCCATGGACAGGGAAGGAGTTCTGTTCCACAAAGAGACTAAAAGAGCCTGCCTGTCAAAGAAAGGCAGGCAGCTCTTTTACTGTGTGAAGGAAATCCCTTCCCTGGATAGATTGAATTGGCCTTGGGTCTTTGGGATCCAAGCTCTGTTTAGCTGGCCCAGTGGAGGTGTTTTTTTTCCCATTCGGTGTGCAGAACGATTCCTCAGCCAGCCCATATGAGAGCAAAAACATTGCCTGACAGATTGATTCGGCCCCGTGCAGGGCACAGTTCCTTTGTTAAGCAGGTCTTTCCCTCTTAAAGGGGCTGGCTGAAAAAAGTCTTCAGGACAGACCATTTTCAACCATTCCCTAGGAACCAGCCAGGCAACAGCACCTTGTGACCTTCCCTTGACTTTCTGGGAAGCTGGCAAGGAAGATTGCAAGTGACAGTGTTTGCGGGGTGCTTGACAATCCATTTTAAGTATGAAGTGCATAGATTGCAATCATGTGATCGTGGGGGTGTTGCAATAGCCGTAACTTTGAACACAGCTCATAAGTCCCTTTGTTCAGCGCTGTTATAATTTCAAGTCATCACTGAACAAACAGTCATTGAGTGAGGACTGCGGCACTCCATACTGTAACCTTCCCTACGCTAGTATCCTCCGGAGGTGCTGGTTTTTATCTCCTGTAATTCTCCATCCAGCATACCCAATGGTGATATTAGCAGAAAGAATTAGGGAACTAATGTTGAATGCATCTTGAGGGCGCTAGCACAGGGAAAGGGGTTAAAATACAATTGCTTCTTAATTTGAATTTTTAGTTACAGAACTGAACAATATTCCAGTAGCATGGCTTTCCACATTTTTCAAGATACGTCAAGATGTATCTTCCTCTAATCCTGATTGGTTAGCCTACCATTTATGGCCACCAGAATTGCTGTCTGTCCTTTCATTTCATGGTCTCTCATGGCCTCATGAATGTCACTGGAGATATGTAGACCATTCCGTCTCATCCATTCCCGATTCCCAATCAACACTGAATGAGAGATTGCCGTACCTGTCATATATAAAAACGCAGAACTGTGAGAATTAAGAAAAAGATTTTTATAAGCTACAGAGAATGCTTTCTTAGTAACTTATATTCCAACCTGTTTACTTAATAGGTATCAGTCTATATAACTTAAGTATGATAAAATATATCAATTTATGTCTTGGTAAGCCAATTCAAAATATTCTTCAAAACTTTCAACATGTTATGAGAAGTACAATGTTCTGGAACTAGATTTGTATAAGATCCTTTTACTGCTTGGTAATTATTAAAATTAGATAGGAAAGAGTATAGAAAGCAAATATTTTTTTCAAAAGGCACTATGAGCAACTAGGAACTAAGAAAAACTGAAATCCAGAGGGAAGAAAGGACTTTTGACTGCAAGTCAAAAGGGAACTGTGATGCAGAATGGAGTGCTTATAATCAGACAATTCAGACCAGGCTAAGACAAACCTCTTTCACTTTGAACATTACAGATACACTGGTGTTAAGATAATCATTGTCCTGGGTGTCTACCTTGCCTAACAAACAATGGGTGACAGTGGAGTTTTGCTTTCTTCAAACTGGACAGTTTGACGTTTTTTCTGTACTGGGGCAAAAATGTGAAATTGCAACAACCCTTCAGACTTGGTTTGTATTTGCCCAGGCTGCTCAGCATTTCAATTTGGAGAAGCTGGAGATATTTCATTTAGGAATATTCATCCATTTATTTCTCCCTCTGTCTTATTCGGTGTTCAAATTACTCCAACCTTTTTGGGGGGGAAAACAGTTTCCTATAGACTTTAGAAAGATTTAGGATGAATACAACTAACCCTAAGATTTTTACAAAAACTTTTCTATTATCAATTAGGTGATTTACTAAATCTAAATCAGTGTTCCTTTTGGTCTTCTTTTCACCAGTGCCCTGTTGCTTGCTAAATTTGAAGCTCCTAAACTGATCAGAACACTCTATTTGCCAAGCTTTTAAAAAAACATCATTTGGAGGTTTTTATCAGGTCATCTTCATTTAAAAAAAAAAACACCCTAAGAAACAATATGTAATCTTGACCTGTTTTCCCACCACTTCCATATTTCTCCTTACCAGAAAATATGAAATCAGGAAGGAAAGATGGCACAGCTGTACAATACCCTTTGACTGGCAGAGCATTTGAAAATTGCTTTAATGTCTTCAACTAGGAACATAGCCAACGTGAGCTGTTTGGACGTACTGTAACAGGTAATTCCTTAAGCAAACCTTCATTTATAAACAGCACCTTGCTTACCTCTTTCTTTGGGGAGTGGAATCTGATCTTTAACACCTTTATCACCCAATAAGGTTTCAATGCTGCTAACGTTACAGCTTATTCCACATCCAGGAACTGTCTGAAAATCTTTACAGTATCCAAGGATCTCTGTGCCAAGTTCCTGCAAAAATATGTATTTTAAACATCAGTTTGAAGCAGCAAAATGCTTCATTGCCATGCACAAATAGAAACACTTAAAACCATAAGAAGTTTTCAAAAAAGCTTTTTTGAAATGGTGAGGATGTGAATGTAAAAAGTGCCTGAAGTTAATATATGTATCTATTTTCTGGAATAATAGCTTCCCCAAATTTAAACTTGAAAAACATGTACAAAATGAAGTGTACTTTAAATTCAAATTATGTCTCTCACTATACTACCTCAATTTTAAGTCAAATCAGTACTACAAACTGGCTTGAAGAATGTTTTACATTCTTCAAGAGTCAGTGGTGCTGACTCTGAAGAAACCAATCCTAGGAAAAAGAACTGCCATTTTTCCCAAAAGAGTTGGGGAGAAGGGAGGTATTACCATCTCACTTCCTAACTTTCTGTTCTCTAAACCAGTGGCCCCCAACCTTTTTTGTACCACGGACCGGTACCAGCATCACAAAATGATCCACGGACCGGTACCGGCATCAGCACGCACGACCAAGGCAAGGCGAGCCGAGCGACCGGCCAGCCAGCCATCCCCCACTTCTCCCCGCCACCTTCAACTCCTCCTTTGTACCTTCTCGCAGTCGATGGGCTTTTCGGGCTCTTTCTTAATCTCTTCCTGAGTAACGCGAGACTCCACTGCCATTGGGACGGCTCTTCGTTCGAAGCCGCCCCCCCTCTTTGACGAAACTAAGGCGCGAGGATTCCTTCAGCACCCAAACGCTGCTTTCCATCCAACCGACGACCGACAAGCTCACCCGGAAGCACTTTCTCAAGCGCCGTTGAAACAAGATGGCGGCGCCCAAGCAAAGTAGGCGGCCCGGTACAAAATGATCCACGGACCGGTACCGGTCCGGGGCCTGGTGGTTGGGGACCCCTACTCTAAACTGTTCAATTTTCTGATATTTATTGTCACTATAAGACATCAGTGCAGTTTCTTCGGCCTCATTGAAGATATTTAAGGCAACTTGTGTTTTATATAAGATTTAACAATCGAACCATTTTAGAGCTTGTTAAATGCCAAGACAGAAATTTCTACCCAAAGCAGGACTGAATGTCAGTGAAAAGAACGCACCTCTTTGCAATACCGAGTGACAGCCATTCCTAAAGGATGCTCACTGCTGGCTTCGGCAGTACCAACAAGAACAAGGAACTTCTTCAGAGGCAGGGTAGCTTCTGTGTCTCCTAGCAACAGAACGCGCATGACTCTGGGAACACCGTAAGTCAGGGTTCCGGTTTTATCAAACATCACTGTCTTCACCTGGAAGAAATCACACTGACAAGTGTTGGCTTTGCTAATTTGAAACATCCAAAGTATAGTTCCTTCGTAACAGAGAGGATAGGCTTGTTCCAGTGGGTGGGTTTCAAACAGTTTTCCTATCGGTCCGGTGTGAGCAAGCGCACTTCGCGCACTCACCAAACACATACTTTGCGCATGCGCAGGTTTTGCAATTCACCTTCTGCTGCAAGCCCTGTGTGTAAAACAACTGACGCGTGGCAATCGGTTGTTCCGTGCAAAGCAGCTGAGGTTGAAAAGCAGGAAATAAAGGTCAGTCTAGAGACGGGGCCGGTGGGAGGGCCCAGCAGCTGATCGTTGGAGCGAACCAATTCGCTCACAGATGATTATCGAAACTATCAGTTCGGCTGAACCAGTAGAATACCACCACTGGCTTGCTCATAGGATAGGGCATATTGTAAGAAAAGTAGTCCGAGGCTTTGGCAGGATAGTACCTTCTTTCTTTCTTGGGAAAGGTGCTTCTTTTTATGGATGGTAAATGTGCCATCTTAATTAGTAATTAATTAATTATAATTAATCTAATTTTTTGAAGCACACAAATTGACCTATTTTCAAAATGTTAAGTTACTGTTCCTCTTTCAATGTTGAGCAATTTATTTAGTAAATTCTCAGTTTTTCATGTTTTGTTAGGTAAAGTCTCTTTCAAGTCAAACTTGAATCATTGACATATCCATGGGGTTTTCTTGGCTACCTACAAAAACAGTTTGTCCCAACCTTCCTTGAAGAAGTATCCGACTTTGTTAGCACCATTAGTAATATTATTTGACAGATCTGCTAATGTCATAAATGCAAATCAATCTTTAGTTCTGACAAAATTTCACATTTTGGTCCTTGAGTGCTAAACCAAAGGACAGGAGCAGAATAACTATTTCTCTCTCTGAAGACCAAAACCTGGAACTATTCCCTATGTAAAACTTGAATTCTGGACATGTCAATTAAGCTGCCCATTAAGACAGCAATTAATCACCTCTGAAAGCATTTTAGTGACTACTAATCAGTAGTATGCAGAGGAACACACAGTAAGCCTGCTTTCTGGTTTGTTTAAAAAGACAGTGGCAGAAGTCACAATAGATTGCTTCCAGTTTAGGACTAATAGTCATAAATTAATATTAACCTTGTGTGCCATTTCCAGGGGTTTCCCACCTTTGATTAGAATACCATTCCGAGCAGCAACTCCAGTGCCCACCATCACAGCAGTTGGAGTAGCCAGGCCCAAAGAACAAGGACATGCAATGCATAGCACTGTGATGGAAGTCTGGAAGGCAAACCGTAGGATAATTTCCGCTTTTGAGATGTTTTTGTTGTGATGCTAGAAGGAAAGCAAGAAATATTTATTTGCAAGAGATATCTAGTTATTGGGAATCTTTTATATTAACATCATTACGCACAAATATGCTCTCACATATCTTTGTGCTCTGTTTTTGAAGATAAATCATTATATGCAAAAATTTAGTCCCTCTACCAATTTAAGTTGAAGCTGCTTTCATAGTACTGTACTCCTCCATATAAAAATCTTCTATCAATTGTATTTAATTGCCTAGTCAGTATACATTTTCTTCTCTAGTACTTAAATCTAATCATTTCCACTTTGTTCCAGTCCTTAATTATCCTGCTTATCAGTTGTTGTTTTTTAAAGCAGCATTTGGGGTATTTGAAGATCACAAATTAAAAACCTAAAACATTGTAAGATGACAAATTTCCAAATATCATTCTGTTTAATGTCATGACTTCTGTTCTCTTTGGCAACCCAAACTAAACAAGGCTCTGTAACTGTATAAAGTAACAGTAGAATAAAAACATCAGCTTTTGCCCAAATAATATTTGTCTATTGATCAGATTAATTCACATAGTAATATTTGTTCACTATATTAATGTGAGAGAAAAAGAACAAATGCATGTCCTGACACTGAGATGCTACAAATGGGTAGAAGTAAAAAAATGTTCAAATGAATTGTTCTGCATTCCTTTCTCAAATGAGATAGCTAAGATCTCAAGAAACCCATTTGCCTTTCTCCTCTTTTTGATTCCTAGAGGAATAGAATAGAATAGAATAGAATAGAATAGAATAGAATAATGGAGTTGGAAGGGACCTTGGAGGTCTTCTAGTCCAACCCCCTGCTTAGGCAGGAAACCTTACACCACTTCAGACAAATGGTTACCCACAGGGGTGGGATTCAATTTTTTTAACAACCAGTTCTGTGGGTGTGGCTTAGTTGGTGGGCATGGCTTGGTGGTAATGTGACTGGCTGGGTGTGGCCAACTCAACATTACTCACATCGAGGCACGCATCTCCTCGCCTGGCTTCTCATGACTGTGGGGATGATGCAACAGTCGTAAGTGTGAAAAATAGTCATAAGTCACTTTTTTCAGTGCCATTGTAACTTTGAATGGTCACTCCACACAAGCAAAGTACCAGCAAAGGAGGGGAAAAAAACTCCAGAGAAGTTCCTGAGACAGGAAGTCTAGTCCTGCCAAGAATGTAATAAGGGTTAACGGAGAGGCAGTTTCTGTAAGCAACACCAGAATGTTTCCTTCCTGCCTTCCTTACAGGATTAGGCCAGTCATTTCTTCTAACAACCGGTTCTCCGAACTGCTTAGAATGTTAACAACCGGTTCTAGCAAATAGGTGCAAACCTGTAGAATCCCACCCCTGGTTATCCAACATCTTTTTAAAAACTCCCAGTGTTGGAGCATTCATAACTTCTGGAGGTAAGTTGTTCCACTGATTAATTGTTCTGATTGTCAGGAAATTTATCCTTAGTTCTAAGGTTGCTTCTCTCCTTGATTAGTTTCCATCCATTGCTTCTTGTCCTGCGCTCAGGTGCTTTGGAGAATAGCTTGACTCTCTCTTTTTTGTGGCAGCCCCTGAGATATTGGAACATTCCTATCATGTCTCCCCTAATCCTTCTTTTCATTAAACTAGACGTACCTAAAGAAACTGCATTGAAAATCAATATAAAAAAAGAAAGAACATCTGAAAATGCCTTTTCAAATTTAATAGATAAATTTGACAATTGTCTGGGTCCTGGATTTCATACTAAATCTGGAATCACTGAATTGGGTTTCCTGGGATCTTAAAGTGTGCAAAAATATTTTTGAATAATTGCAAAAGAAAGACAGAGGTATGTACACATATACAAACACGTGTACAAATCTCTGAGTGGTTCTTTTCTACCTAATTCTTCTTGGGTATTCTCAACATATTTATATCTTTTGTAGTCTCCTACCATATGAGGAGAATATAGGACACCCTATAGACTCCCATAGGGAGTCTCCCTGAAAAATTATGAGTTGCTATTGTTCACTTGTAATTCTTACTAATGCATGTTGAAGGCAGAGGTGGTATTCAGCAGGTTCTGACTAGTTTTGGAGAACCAGTAGCGGAAAATTTGAGTAGTTTGGAGAACTGGCAAATACCACCTCTGACTGGAGATTTTATAGCATTCTTCCCCTGCCATGCTCCCCCAAGCCATGCCCACAGAACTGGTAGTAAAAAAATTTGAATCCCACCATTGGTTGAAGCCACTTTAAAAATTATGTGGAATAGTATGATATAAGTAATTACAATAATTAAATAAACAGTACTTACAGAAAAATATTTCAGTACAACATCAAACTGTATAAATCCAATTACAATCCATGCTATCAGGGTTGCTGTTGAAATTATTATGATAAATGGAACAAAATAACCACTAAATCTGTCAGCTAGTTGCTGGATGGGTGCCTGCAAATCAGAAAAAAAATAGATCCTTATGAGTGCACAATATTAAAAAAATACATACACTTATCAAATTCAGTATTTTACAAATGCATCTGGTTGAAAGAAATACAGATTTTCCCCATATCTCTCACCTCTGATTAAAATGCCATTAGTGAATTAACTGAAATTTGTCTTTTGAAAGCACTGAAGAAATGCTTTTAGCTTGCTATTGAAACAAGAGGATTTATTTCTATCGAAGCATGTTCAGGACTCTAAGGACAAAAGCAATCTACAGAAGGTGTTTCAATCAATAGTTCTGTGATGACAAGGTCCCTGGCCCAGCAGCTGCAACTGCACATTATCTTTCTGCAGTAATAGCAATAGCACTAGCACTTAGATTTACATACCGTTTCACAGTGCTTTACAGCCCTCTCTAAGCGGCTTACAGAGTCAGCGTATTGCCCCCCAAAATCTGGGTCCTCATTGTACCCACCTTGGAAGAATGAGTCATCCTTGAGCTGGTCAGGATTGAATTGCCAAACTGCTGGCAGCCAGCAATCAGCAGGAATAGCCTGCAATACTGCATTCTAACCACTGCACCATTACGGTTCATAATGGACTTCTGTGGTTTCCTACCGTGTTTCTCCAACAATACGCCCCCCCAATAGGAAGACCCAGCATGTTTTGTAGGCATAAAATGAAATTAAGCCCCTCCCCCCCAAATTTAGGCCTAGTTTAAAACATGCAAAATTGGTGGGGGGGAGGCGGGGGGAACTTGCCATTAGGAGTGCCCGGCGGGCAGCTACGCCTCACCATCAGCCGCTCCTAACACAGTGGAGAACGGAGGGCTCCCTTCCCCCTCCCTTACCCGGGTCAGCAGGCGGGCAGCGTCGGCGTGGATGTCTGGCAGCGTTTCAGCTGCTTCTCAGGCCTCCGTAGCTTCCATGGTTCCCACAGGTGCTGGCGCCTCTCTCGCCAGCTCCGTCTGCAACAACAGCGTCTGAGTCACTCCCGCTTTTCCCCTGTCCCCGTAGCAACAGGGGAAAAACAAGATTTTGAGGTAACTGGGAGCACC